TGTGTGTGTGTGTGTGTGTGTGTGTGTGTGTGTGTGTGTGTGTGTGTTCGTACTTCATTATGTTTTGTCACACGCTATGATGGGTGATACCATGTATGCGAGTGTGTACGTGATGCATAATTTGTCTAGTCAGACTGTGACGGATGATGATGGTCCGTGTGCATGGACGTGCGTGTGTGTCGGCGAGCTCACATTCACGGGAGGAGCCGCTTCTGAATGTCTGGTCTGATCTTGGCACCCGGGGGTCTTGTTTGGAGGGTGATGAATTAAGCCGAGTTGGGGAGAGAGACACACACACAGAGAGGGAGAGGGAGGGACAGGATCTGTCAGGGCCCTGTTAGCATCTCTGTCCAGTGGCAGACGCTGGGAGTGGTTGGCTGACCCTTTACTCGTGCTGGTCAGACGGGGAAATCCATCAAGCTGACCAAAATGTCACCCGACAGCAGATAACGGGCTGATTAAAGTGCGCCATGTCGCATTATGTTCACTAGATTAACGGTTACCTAAGGCAAGAAAAAACAGGTTGGCTTTAAAGTCTTGTTTATTGTCTGTTGTTTTGTTTTGAGCAACACAAACATGGAATGAATTATAAAATTGGTTTTAGAAAAGAAGTAAAGACAAATTAGCTTGTAAAACCATCCCACCTCAAAGCAAAGTCATCCGATTCACTGCTAACAATTAGAATTTTATTAGAACATATTTTTATTATTACATTTTTGTTTAACTTGTTTAGCCGAATTACACTTCCAGAGTGAATGATGGTGAGTGCACCTGGAATCGGCTTGCGCGCATCAAGTTCCTGTATCATCATCGGTACATGTACCCAGTAGTGGGGGGGCGCAAGGGTCAGTGGCCGATAACAGTAGTAACTAACACTACTGTCATCAAAGTGCTCATCTATAATAGAAAAGTGTGAGGGCCAAGGAAGAAGAATATGGCGAGGGATGGACGTCATTTTTTATTTATTTTTTTTGTGTGTTTTCATTTGGGGGAAGTGAAAGGGCACCAGATGGAGAAAGAAAAGACGCAGTCATAGAAATGACTGGAAAGGTTAGAATAAAACTGCCATGGCTGCACCGCACTTCAGATATGGCTGAGACGTCGCTATCGTCATTAGAGACCATTGTGCAGGAGGGTAGGGTATAATTTCAGCTACTCTAGAGGGAGTTCGTCACCCCTCCCTTAAGACAAGAGGCACTTGGCTGACCTCTGCTGTCCTCAAACCACAATCTTAATCACAGGGAACAAATTGCTTTGTTGGATTCCCTTTTTGTTTTTGCTGTTGGTGCCAAGAGTATATGAAGAGCAAGCCTCGCTAAGATCTTGTTAATGGTACCTTCTAATTACTGTGCGCTGTACTCCTCCTTCCATTTCACTTCACCAACATAGGATCTAGATTATTACTCTTTTTTTTTTTTTTTTTTTTTTTTTTTTTTTAAATGACAGAGGGCTTGGAAAGCCTTTTTTTCCATTTGTCGCCATGCGGAACAAGTCGGGTGGATAACAGCTGGTGATAAGGGAAATGCCTGCTTCTTCATTTGACTGACCTTCCAAGCCGAAGGCTTCAAAAGCACCACCTCGTTTTGTGAAGCAGATTGGTCGGAGAGAAACAAATGGTGAAGTGCTTTTTCCCACCTCATCGTGGGGCCTCCAGGCCTTGAGAGGAAAGCAACAGCGGAAGGAAAACTTACGAGGGATTCCCATTTCCTGCCTCTGCGCTTAAAAACAGGCGTGTGTGAGAGTGTTAATGGTTGAGGAATTTTAGCAGCTGTCCTAAAGCCTGTCTGTGGGTAAAGGGGCCCATTGATGGGCTCTGAATCACAGAAACGGCAGAAGCCACACATGCAAATCCTCTCTACCTTTACTTCTTCGCTGACTATTTCAACACCCATCGCTGGGCCCCTTTCGCTCTTGCCTTTGACCTCCACACTGTTTGTTGCCCGTCATTTTTAAAGAAAGGAGCTCGGCTTTGTTCTACTGGGGAGCCTCCCGTCATTCGCTGCGGATAGAAACATCCGCTAATGGCCCCGACATGCAAATGTAATGTAAATGCACGAGGCCTCCTCGTGTTGAAAGAGTGTGGGTGGAGGATATTAGCCCTCACAGAGTTACGCAGACATCACCGTCCATCATATCCATTACACTGTGTTTTTTTTTTTTTTTGCGGCCTCAAGCCCCACTGGGAGCACAGAGAAAAGCGCCGACGCCATTGACCACCTCAAAGGTTTCGATCAAGCAGATGGGCGAATGTTTGTTATGGCTCGACACCCCGGCCACTTTCTCACTTGGGGTGGGGGTTCAGGGCAGGAGGTGGGGTTGTGAAGAGGTGATCGAGGTGGGGGGGGGGAGGCTGCGAGAGCTACGGGTGCGCGATAAAGAGGGAAAAAATAAAAGAGTGATGCAGCCAACTGCCTGTCAGCGCTGTCCACTTGAGATGATTAATGGCCACAGGCTATGATGGACAGAGCCAGAGAGAGAGAGGCTCCTGTTCAGTGAAATCACCAGTCAAGAAAGGAGGGAGTAATGGGGGGGAGGGGGTAAAGACAAGTGTTTTAGCGCTCTCTACTCCTGACAGAAAACCCCACACGTCGCGGTCAGCAAAGGCTAGATCCATCCCAGTGTGACGCCCTTAATGTCGAGTGTAGATTCAGCTTAAGAGGGGCCACATGGTGTTCTATCGCTGCTTAAGAGTTATTTTAGGGGAAAATCCCTCCGTAGTCGATTTAGGCCCGTTAATAGCAATAAAGTGCTAAGCCGGACTTGTCTGCGTCATTAAGTTGCAGTGGTCTTGACGGGGCTGGGGGAAAGATGTTCAGAATTAAGAGGAAGGAGTAGGAGAGGGAAGGAAGGGAAGATAATGATTATAATGAAGATGTCTCATTTAGCTGCAGCTCCGCTGTCAAACCTACTGTCTGTTTGCTCCCAGCGTTCAAGGGCATTGATTCAAAATGGCATACGTGGACTTTGTTTGGTCAAAAGTATCACATTTGTCATTCCAATTGTATTTTCCTTTACTTAAAAATAAATAAATCTGCCACTTATATTTCAACCCCTTCCCCATCCCCCACCTACACACACACACACACACACACACACACACACACACACATCAAAACATGATTTGCATTAAAAACAAATTTAAATAGCTCGGGCAGTGTTTCACATTTAGAGAGAATACATTTTCTGTCCTGGTTACGCTGGATTTGTTTGTGTGATGTGGGAAGAGTGGCCTCCCAGCAGGACATTAGAGGAAGTTCCCTAACTGTAACCCTGAGACCGAGAGCTCTGTCCACACCAATTACACCGTGAATGGGCTCTGGGGGATCCATGTATGCATTATATTACTCCCCCGGTCAGCCTCACACTGGCCCTCGTAACAGGCGGGCCCTCTGAACAAACACCACACCACAATAGGAACATTCTCTGGCTCTTTGATATGGCCTCATTTTCCTTTAGTTAACACCCCACAACTTCTGGAAAGTGGCAGCACCTGGTTGGTTTAGCAACAAAAACACTGGGCATTGTGAGCACATTTGTCCATTTTAGATGGTGTCGGGTTTCGGGCGGAATGATTTTCATTTGAGATCGACCTTTTAACTGCCGCTTTGTTGGATCACTGTTACGCAATTCATGCAATAGTTATCTGCAAACAAGTGATCAACCTTTTTCAGCTATTTCTATATTCTGGATCATTAAAGATGCAATTCTCACAATCAATGCAGTTTTCAAGAGCGTAGAAGCAGGTTTTACTTAGAATGCACCAATAAAATGCAGTTAGGAAATGACATTTTGTCCTCGTCTTTCTTTCTGTCTCCATCCCCTTCCTCCTCCTTTGCCACCACCCCATTCTCCTTCCCCCTCTGTTTATTGTGCTACAGTTACAACCACTGAAACTTGATAACACCATGGGGGATAGGGGCGGAGGGCCGCACTGTGGCCC